GAAGGACACAAGTCAATGGATCTCTACCTGTTTTGACTCCATCCAACAAATCATACTTGATCAATACAAGTGGGTTGTCAATTTTCCTGAATAACTGATTTGTCCAAGACACAGTAAGTTCAATGCTACCTCAGTTCATTTGATAGTTTCATTGGAGATACTGTAACCTATTAAACCCCATTGTGTCCCCTCAGAAAAATAGCATCCTTTTCAGTAGCCACAGCTGGCCTCTGTCTTTGTAACTCCCCTTGGCGTTCTGTAAGACAGCCATGTTGTAGCTGCAAGCTATTACAACAACACACTGACTTCCAGATTTACAACTGTGTGCTTGTCATTTCCAGATGTAGTTTTACTAAGACAGTTGTGCAGGAAACATTGTGAGAAGCAGCAGATTTCCAGTAAAACATGCCTATAAACACTGTGGTTTCTGGCAAAGGGTGGGGGGAAGGGTTTATACCCAGATGCCTTAGAAAAATATAGTCTATTCTTTGTTTCATATTTACCCTGAGGGTTTAAGTGTGATCTACAGGTTTTGTTTTTGTTTTGTTTGTCCCTTCTGACACTAGAGCAATCTATCTAGACCCCTGTGTCCTGTAAATGGTTGGAGCCTTGAGTTATGTGCTTTCTGCCTATTGTTCTGTTAACAACACAGGAATTCTAGAATAGGAAGTCAGAACCTTAACTACAAAAGCAATTACTGTAGATATTTTGAATTGATCTCCATAATCTTTAAGCTTCTGAGCAGCACCTGGACAGGTTAATTTGAAAGCAGAAACCAAAACTTCCTGTGGGAAGTCACAGACCCATGAGTTCATGAATATTTTTCTACATTCCATTGAACAAGCTGCCTGATTTTTCCCTTAGCACAAGCCAACATGATTCAAAAGACAAGTTTTGGCAGGAAGCAAATTAGCACATATGGGTGTGGGTGGCAGTGCCTTAATGCCCAAAATGGGCCCACTTTTATTTTCAGTTGTGGCTATATCTATTAATACATAATACCAAGTCAAGGAAGAAATTGGTTGTGGCAGACCCATTCCTCGGCAAAGTTGGGAAGTAGATGAAGTGTACTGACTCCATGTTTGTTATTCTTAGCTTTCTCTTAAGCTAGTCTCTTTTCTTTAGGGACTCACTACAATGTTGCTGGCCTGTCAGTGTTCCCCTCTCTTGTGGCACTGCTATCTCCTCTACTCAGTACTCCAGACTGATACATCTCTGTTCTCTCTTTCATGAGTACATACCTGCTCTCAGCCATCCATCCATTCATCCACCCAGCTGCCCATTTCTGTAACTTCTTATTAATTAAAAGGAATAACCACTAGTGTGTTGATGACTTAGGAATATATTTCAAAGAATGATTGAGCCCGAATAGATGATTCTTATACTTTTAATAATGCAATGTCTTAGTCATTTTAAAGGTTTTTTTTTTTTTTCTGCTGATACATATATTTCCATAGAATAATTTTGGGATCCATGTAGAGTGCAAGAGGTTGGAAAAGAAGGAGGTCTAGCAAAAGGAAATGTCCTGGTTTGCTCTACAATAGCAGCTGAATTTCTTTACAAAGTATATTTTTAGACTCATGTGAGATTTGTAGTTATAAAGGAGTTATGAAAGAGAAAGAAAAAAGAAAGAATGATACCATCTTAGTTTAAAAAATTAAATCAGTTTAAGATTGTATCATATCAGTGATAGAGATATGTTACTAATAGAATACCTTATAAAAGACGCTCAAATATGTGTAACACATATTATACCTAATTGGCTGTGAATGAACCATCCTATGGTTTAAACTTAGTTTCCCGAAGTGTAATCCAACTGCCTTGCCTCCTTGACAACACTGACCTACGGGCATGCCCCAAAGAGCCAAAAATTGTGGAAAGAAGATAGGACAGGTATATCCCTTCCAGGGAGCAGGACACATCCTGGATAATGGTCGTAGGTTCCACACCCAACTAGGGGCCAGCTTATACCCCCAATTGTGCTGAGGGCAATAGAATATATTCTGATGAACTAGGCCTGTGCTACTTGTCCACCATATACATAAGCAGGATTACCATGGAGTGCAAGAGAGATGCAAATGAAAATTCTAATAATGCATGTGCAGTAGGTGGTATTTTCCCAGAATGAACAATACTGTGTGAACGTGCCTATAAATTCAGTAAAGTAATAGAGCAGGACATGCAGAGTGGATGACTTTGACTTCTGATGGGAGCACAGTGTCCATTTTCAAAAGATGCTTTTTAAAATTAGCTAAAATATAATAATAATATGTATATGATTCTTTTCTCTGAGTTTTTAAGTAATATGCTGAATGATAGATTTCTGTATAGTGCACCTTCTTTCAAGAAAAGATCTTATTTCTCATGCCCTAACTTCTATCGCCTGATCAATAACTTCAAAGCAATGGGCCAGCAATACAAACAAAGAATGGATAAATAGCCACATCAGGCTTGGGATTGGGATTCTTATTTTTAAGGCTTTGCTTAAGAAAGAGGATATCCACCAGGCAGAACTAATTAAGTAAGAAGCATTATTAGTAGAATTTTTATTTGCATTTCATAAGCCTCTAAAGCAAAATAATGCAAATATATTGACTAAATTTGGCAGTTAGAACGGAGAATTATTGCTCTGTAGATTGCAAAGTGATTGACAGTGACATATAATATTCAACATAACAAGCTCAGAGCAGAAACATTTGTTCGTGGTGACATTCCTTTTCCGAAAACTAAGGGAAAGCGACATTTATTTAGTAGCTTATGTGTAAACAGTTTCTTTATTTCTCTATTTTTCTTTTTCTAGAAGCAGCTTTTCATTCTGTGGTTCACTTTTCATTAATTAAGATTGTTTCATCTTTGCTAATTAATCACAAAACAATGCATTCTAACAAAAAGAAAAGCTCTTTAGGTCAACATAAACCAGTTGAGGTGAGTAATATGCAACCTAAGATGTCAAAACAACAGCAAGAAAATAAACCTAACCCACTCGCTTAATCTAGCAAGGGCTTTAACTAACAAGATTGCCTTCAGAATGTAAAAGCAAATGGCTTGTTAGGGGACCTTTTGGTAGGAGAGCAGGGAGCAGGAAGAGAAGGAAAAAGGAGAGGAAGGTAAGAGGAAGGAGTAAACGAAAAGGGAGAGTGAGCAAGGGGAGAAACAAAGGGTATCTGTGTTTTAAATATGTGGAGAAGAAAACAATGCAATCTGCATGCTTTACTTTCATGTGTTCAAGCTATTACATCACACAGGAGAGGTATAATAAAGTGTACTAGTGAGTGGTTAGGTCACCCTAATGAATTCAAATAAAATATCTCTTTCTCCTAAAGAGGTGGAGCATTTTATTAACTAGCATTTGGAGAGTGTTATTATTTTTTATGTCTCAGGTTTTATGGATCCTATTTTCCTGGGAGGCTGTGGAAACAGTGACAAATGTTGCACAGACCAGAAACTCATATTTTGTGTTTCTAAAACAAATCAAAGAAATCACAGAAGAGGAAAAACAAATCAGTTAACCTGCAACTTTATCTATGAAGTTTAGATGTCAGCATAGTTTGTAAAATCTGCCACCTCTATCATGGTTAAAACAGCACCAATAAACACAGGGAGACATTTTATTATATGACTGTATCATGGATCTTTGAAATCAAATGTGTATTCATGAACCTCTTGGATGTTATATCACATAAGTAATATGCATAAAAAATGAGCTCTTCAGATGAGGTAATCTTAGCTGGAAGTAGTACTACAGCAAAAGTTAGAATTGGTTAGAGCTGAAAACATTTGAAGTATTGGATTTTCAGAAAAGAAGGAAATTGATATTCTATGAACAATATTGAAAATATTTTATTTTGTATTTAATGGTGGAAGGTAAAACAAAGAATATTTTATACTTTAATTAATTAATCAGAATATACAAAGATTCAATAAAATCATTTAAAGTTTACACATGATAATTTATCTAATAAATAATATTAATAATATATAATAGGTTATTTAATGTTTGCATGTCTCTATTATGTATCTATACGTACATATATGTATATTACTATTATATATATTTTTAAATAATTTTTCATTATATAACAACACTACAGATTTAAGAAATGAGAGTTCATGGAATTATCCTTTTTAGTAATAATGACTTTTGGCACATTTGGTATAAGTTTTCTAAAAAACCTACATAACATCAAACCTCTAAATGTTCCAACAGGAAAAAGCTATGTCATCATACATACAGTCACAAAATTCTAGACTTCTAATGTATCTTTTAAACCTTTGGGTAAAGAAAAACAATACCCATTTTTCCACTCATTTTTTAAAAGTTTCCTATTAGAGAAAAAAATGGAGATGGCTTTGTTAGCCTCCATCAGAATAGAGTCAGATGACGGAGAGTGTTTGCATTGAATCGAGCTACCTAGTGTTCCACCTTGTCAATATAACATTACATTTCATTGGTGATCGAATTATTTCAATTTGCCATGGCACTACTTTTCTGAAGCTATCTGTGGACCCATGTAGGTCAAGGGGAAGGAAAATTAGGGGTCATCCTAAGTTTATACCATATAGTGTTTTCATTTTCTACCCAGCTAAGTACATCCAGGCTCCCTGTTGGGCAAGCCTTTTTTTCCTTTGTCTGTTATTTTCAGAAAAAAAGACTACATATGACAGTCTCAGAATCTTACCAGCCTGAACACAGATGGTAAAGATTACAGCACGCTGAGTATTGACCTTTAGAAGCTGCCTTTCTTCTCAAGGTTCTTCTCTTTTGACAGCTAGACTGGCTTTTTCTCAATTAATTTCATTACCAAAACTAGTTTTGCCTTTTATTTTTCCTCTGATGAGTGTTAACTAGACTTTTATCAACAAAGTTCCGTTATATTCTAAGCAGTTGGCAGACCACACCATCACAAATCGTTACCTTGCAGTCCTCATTGACGCACTGGCATCAAGAGCTCGGAGATAATGTAGACATTGTTTAAATGCTGGCTTTCCTTTTTCAACAGGTACCTAAGCTAATGAATTTCAACTGGTTGCCGAGATGAGCAATGAGTGGGGACCTGGGAGAAAGAGGTCACGGACGGCAAGTAGGAGGCCCCCCCATAAATCACAAGATGGAGCATTTATGAGCTGGCTGTAAATTGTCAGCATAAGGCTACAGAGTGAGCCTAGACTTTGATCATAAATAAAGAAGAAAGCTAAAACAATATAAACCGGGGTGCCCAAATTAAATGGAAGATACAACTGCACTGTTTGTGGATCCAAAAATGCCATTTCAGATCTTAAATATAATAGATATATTAAGAAAATCCAGAAAAGAGATTAGACTACAAATATTTTCTTTAACACCGAGCTAAAGTAATAATACTATTAGCCCAGCAAACTCTCACATGCACTAGATTTTTACAATCACCCAAATGTAACAGCAGGTACTATTTTACATCATAAAACCTGAGAGAGAAACCAGAGTGAATCCCTTTTTTATTATGAAGAAATTATGTGGTAGATTATTTTCTGATGGAAAGTTTAGACTATTCAGTTTTAAAGATATGAATCTGTTTCCTACTATACTTCAAACAGTGATAAAATTACTATAATAATATCTCGGCACTATAAAACATGTTGAAATACAGCAGTAAACCATTATCTGCATTGTTTTATTTTGCTCAAATAAATTAAAGCTCAGCCATTGATCTGAGATAAAAATTATCATTTTAATATGCACTTAAAATTTTGTGCAATTTTAGAAGGCAGTACAGTTAGACTTTTGATCTCAAATGAGTAGGTGATAAAAGTGTCATGTAAGATTTGCTTATATTTTACAATTTCATTAAAAGGGGATTAACTTTTCGGAGAAAATATGAGAAAAAAACTAATTAAAATTGAGAGCCTCAATAAATTTACCTTTGCAGTGTCACATAACGTTTTGCAAGTGCAACAGAATGGTGGTAGCAAAGTGAATCATTCTAGGAAGTCTTAAAACAAATACAAGAAAATCCCTTCTTATACAAGTCAGAGAAATTGCTCTGATTTATCAGTCACCCAGAGAAACAGTAGAAGAGAAACTGGCTCCATCAGTAGATGCTAAAAGATCAGAGGCGTCTGTGTTACCAGAGAAAAGTAGAAACATTCTTCTCATTTCCTTTGACAATTTTGCCCCAAACCATAAATCAGATCTATTTCTTTAAATTTTTCTCAAAAAATAGGACTGAAAGCCAGTAAATCAGGCACAAGATATTTTAGAGATATAAAGTTAAAGATTTTAGGATTTAAGAAGACCTTAGAAATCAGATCACCTTGTCAAAGATACTCAGATTAGCAATGAAAGTGCTGTATTTAACCAAGGACACAAAACTAGTTGGCAGAATTTAAATCGGAACCCAGCTATATTGGTTCCCTGTTAGAGGTTTCTGCTGTACATATGTTTCCTACCTGCCCAGTCCCATTTTTCCTATTTTCACTTTTTCTTTTCTAAATCTGGGGTCTCATATGATTCTACAAAGATTGGTGCCATCCCCAGATTCATCGGTGGGCCATATCTTGCTCGGGCCTTTCCATCCACCCCATTCTACTAGCCATGGTGATGGGTTCAGAGAAGGATATGTGGTCCAATTCAAGACAATAAGACTTTATGAGCTGTTTGCTGGAGACTGAAATGAAAATATAAGAACCTCCCCGATGCTTTCAAGAGCACAGCCAGAAAATATCATTTCTTGCAAGTGGGAAACACCAACCAAGGAGATCCCTGCAGCTGTTGGCTGCCATTTTGCCCCCATAAGAAAAGCTAGCCTGAGGACAAGGCCAGTGCAAGAAAGAAAACAGAACTATGAGAAGAGCAGGGAAATCAAGTTGGAATCCTGACCAAACTGCAGCTCAAACTCTTCTTGCCTCTAGAGATCCCATTGTATATAAGCCAATACATCTTCTTTTATTGTTTAGACCAGTTTGAGTTTTCTTTCCTGCCCCTCAAAGTATATTAACACATGTAAAGTTCCTTCCTCTCATCATGTTTCCTGAGAGCACAGCTATTTCTCGATAATAAAGGAAAGTTCCTATTTGATACACTAGAAAAAAAGTTTATTAAAATTTTTGTTTTGATGAATTCTGACTGCCTATGGTTAATTGCTAAAGGTAACTGTTTCAAGGATTGATTTTTCTCTTTTCATTTACATTAATCAGGCTCTAATTTTCTTATAGAGAATGGTGATAGTAAATTAGTTTAAGAGTTTGCATCTTTGCATAAAAGCAAAAAAAGCCAATAACCAAATACTCTTACATCTAGAGAAATCTGATTATGTTGGATGCATGTATTCGCCACTTCAAGTCGGGACTGTAAAATAGATTAGGCGGTCAGAATTAGTAGGGAGTAGACTCTGTGGTGCAGCAAAGAAATAAAATAGCTCTTTCACATGGTTTTCTGTCATTTACCCATTATTATTCTTGTTTTCTTCTTGACTGTCTTTCCAGGTAGATGCTCTTATTGCAAACTTGATTGTTTGCAATCGAACTATTATATAACCTCTGGTCCAGGTCAGTTGTCCTCACTCTCAGTTGTTTGCTATAATCACCTGGGGAGTTTTACTCTGATGCCCAGGCTATAACCCAGACCAATGAAATCAGAATCTCTGGAAGTGGGGCCCAGGTATCAGTATTGAGAACCAGTGGCCTAGGTCACTCAATATCTCCAGCTCTAGGAAGGCCAAATGAAAAACATGGAAAAGTTCCACAGGAAAAGGTGAGTGGAGAAGGCCACATAGATTTCAAGTCTGAACTGAAGGACTCTGTTTTCTGCCTTCTGCATCTATCTTCTCACAGTACAGAAATTCAGAGGGCCAACTTCCGGGGGCTGACCTGGGTAGAAGAAACAATGATACCTCCACCTGTTTCCTCTTTCTTGCAGTCAAAAGGCAAAGAGAATCTCGGGGCTTACTAAGCTCATTGCAGCTTCTTAAGGGTAGGAGGTCCTACGGGGATTTGAACACAAAAGGCTATCTTGTGATAAGCAGTGTCCTATGTCCTGGGGGCCTCCTAGTGTATCCTCCTCCTAGAGATCTGATATGAGGATTGAGAGCAGCATATCATACCTTGTCCTGACCATCTCCATCACACCTGGCCGTGACACCATTCCCATCTCCATTTTCCATGGAATGTTTCCCTTCCCAGCCATATTCTTCTGGAAGATACAAGGTTGTTGTCGTTACCAGTCCTGCTCTTCTCTCCCGATGTACACCTCACCTCTGCAGACCGGGTTTGGCTTTCGAACATCCCTGTAAACATGTACGGATTGATTTTGAAATGTACGACTATTAGAATGCTTCAATTTTTACTCATGACCTAGGTTACTTAGAGCTTTGCTGATCTGCCTCTTAGATATTTTAAATAATTTCACTAATAAGTTCTGCATATTAAAATTCTAGACCAGTCAATATTGCCATCATGTTGAAATACATCTTTATATGTCAATATAGCCAGCTGAGTAAACATTAAAGCATAATTGAATTTTTCAACAATGACATTTTAATTAAGAAATGTTCTTGGGCTTTTGAGAGTTCAATATATTAGTATTTCTTTATAAGGATTTCTCCTTTCAGAATTTGTTTGAAAAATACAAATGAGCCTGATACTGAAATAACTTGGCATTTTTTTGCCCTAGTTCTATGAGAAAAACTTATCATTTGGACTCAATGTGATGTGTATAATTTTGCTGGCCAGTATTAATTAGTGCAAAATTATAAGCACCAAATTGGAGGGCATGACGTAAGACAATACAAGTACTTTACAAAAATACTTTAGTTACTTCAGATGTCTAGATTTACAAGATAAACTTACATATATATATATATATATATATATATAAAACAGCAGGTGGATCTGGTTTCAGCTTTGGATAAAATAGCATCTTTTTCCTTTACTTATATGCTCCTGGGGGGAAAACAGTGCATATTACTTAGATAGTCAAATATGGTATTATTTTGGGTAGATATTATAGTTGCATTTAGTATGCTTTTAAAGAAAAAGAAACATCTAGGTTCAATTCTAAGTCTTTAATGGCCATTTTTTTTCTTTTTTTTCCCCTTCAATTGCAAAGAAAGAAATCCATGAGTATTTTTCATACCTACTGGATTCAATGCCATACTCTCTGAACTTGCCCACAGCTTGATATCTATAGTTTTCTCCACAGCCTTCTGACATCTCAGTCTTTCTTTTAGCTCATAAATCAATTGGTGCTCAAAGAGATATTGACAGATAGCATCAATAAATCAATATTTACTTATCAGGGACATATTCTGTACAACATCCTCTGTTTGGGACTGTAGAGGATGCTAGATTTATAAGATACATTTTCTTTCCTTACAGAGATTGCAATGTTGTCAGGACTATATGTTGTAGTAAACATATAAAAAAGATGAGAAGCATAAATGAATTTAAGACAGATAAATAAGAGAATATATCCCTTCTATGTCTCCTCTGCAAAAGCCTGAAAGATCTTTCTCCCTTTGTATGTATGTTTATATTCATGCATAATTCTATTTATCTATGTATATATGTATCTATTTTTCTATCTAGCATAAACTCTTCTAGCATAAAATCTTGTTGTGGGTTGTGAAGGGGAAATTTGTCATTTTTTTTCCCACTAGGATCTGAAACTTCCCCTGGTTTTTGAAAAAAATATTCTCTAGTGCCTTCAACTTTTCTAGGACCCTGGCATGTAGAACACAAATGAAAATCTAAGATCAGACACTCCAGTGTTTCCACCCAGAACTTTGAATTTAAATTGAATGACACACAAATGCAGGGACAGAAAACTTATCATTCTGTGCCCAGTGGTGCTAGCAGTGGTGGCCATTAGCCAGGGATAGTGCTGGCAGTGGTAGCGATAGTATTAGTTGCAGTATGGACATCATTCTGGGGCAATAGCCAGGGCATTTTTAATCCAATTGTTCTTGTTATGGGTTCTTGTCGGCATTTCTGGTTGCCTTTGGTTTCTGCCCATTTTTAGAACCATGTTCTCCTGGTTTCCTATTGAGTCTATGAACTACTCAACCTCTTCGAGTATATCCTCTGCTGATGAAGTTAATCAGAGTTAGTTATTTGCAATCAAGATCCCTTTTGGTAGAGAAGTTGGAATTGGCAGTGGATAGTAAGCAACAAGGCAAAACCTCAAGGAAATGGAAGAAATCTGGAATCAGTTCTCTGGTCTGATAAAAGCTGAAGGCATTGAAAATCCAGTTAGTCAAGGATTGGGATA